TTGGCAACCCTCAAAGGTGCCAAGAACTGAGCAGCAGCGAGTAGACTAAGAGATTGGTACAGGTGAGTGCTAAGTTTGTGCTAAGGGCTAATTGTCTGCCCACAGGCACTGTACACTTCTCCCCAGGTGGGGTGGCAGCTGTATCGCTAGGGACACTGCATGCCGCTTTGGAAAGTTTCTACTTGGTGTGAATTTCACACAGACATGCCCTGTTGGGTGACATGAGTACTGTAAAGTTATTTAACCTCCCTGCCATGGGGCAATAAATACCAAACAGTATAGGCTGCCCAGGATGTGTGTGACAAAATTATAGAAACCATGAAGAATTTTTAAAGGATAAAGTATCCACCCAGCCCCAAACACTTTCAGCAGTCCAGTGTGGTCAGTAAAGAAGCCAGACAGAGGCTAGACATGGTGCCACACACCTTTAATCCCAGCCCTTGGGAGACAGAGGAAGGTGGACCTCTGTGAGTTCAAGACCATCCTGGTCTACATAGTGAGCTCCAGGACAGCCAGGACTACATAGACCTTGTAGTCTGCTATATGGGTCCATTGAGGTGGCTCAACTGGTGGGGCTTCTTGTCGCCAGGCCTGAGGACCTGAAGGTTGATCTACGAGACCCACATGGTGGTGGAAGGAGAGCCAACTCTCAAATGTCCCCTGACCCCTACCTGATGTCATAGAGTGCACATACATTCCTGTACATAGACACACACAACGAGTAATTTGACAATAGATAATGTTGATGTTACAACAAAAAGACGAACAGCTCATGAATAATGGTTGAATTATAGAGCACTAAATAGAGAAATGTCACCCCTGTCCACGCTGCCATACCCAGGATTGATCTTTTGAAAACAGTTCAAATGATGAGCTCTCCCCTTGCCAATACTTGCTTCACTGTTCCCCTGGTTGCTGGATCCCCAGACCAGCTCTCATTCGACAGGAGTGAAACCATCAAGGTTCCCTCCAGAGTCCCACTGTCATGGGATTGTTAGCTAATAAACAAGGCGGGCACCTTCAGGGATGTAATCCTAGATTAACGTACTTTCAAAATGTTTATGTGGCGTTAAATTTTATAGTGCAACTTGAGCTGTAGTCTTACATAAAATCTCCATGTTTCCTTCATCCAAGGAGGGCATTGCTTTAGGAACAGCCTACTTCTTCCCTGCTATGGGCAGGGAAGAAAAAAATCATGTTTGGCTCTACAGTCATCAGGATGCAAACCCAATGTTTGGTCACATGATGGTGCGTCAGGACCCTACTGTACTGTCTGCCCTCTGCAAGATGGTTTCATCATATAGCCTCAGAGTATTTTATAGATTTAGAAACATTGAAGAGTGCAAACCGAACCTAAAGGAAAGAGTGGGAAGTTAATCCGCACAGTGTGAAAGCCAGCTCAGACACTCTTACGAATTTTTTTTTTAAGATTTATTTATCACATACACAGTGTTCTGCCTACATGCCAGAGGAGGGCACCAGATCGAACTGTAGATGGTTGTGAGCCACCATGTGGTTGCTGGGAATTGAACTCAGGACCCCTGGAAGAGCAGTCAGTGCTCTTAACCTCTGAGCCATCTCTCCAGCCCCATTCTTAAGAATTTTAAGGGTGGGTAAGACACTATGATCGATCCCTGACGAGGCTATTGATCAAATTCTAGTGTGTCGTGGACATGACTTGCACTCTCACAGCAGCTATGCACAGGATCAAGCCAGCCAACCTCTAGCACAATGACTACTAGGAGAGGAGAGTCAGTTTACTTTAGGGGTGTGGTCCCTGGTAAGTTGGCCATGCTCCAGTAGATGGGTACACATCCATAGATATATGGATAGCACTGTTGAACTTAGTGGGTTTTTAAAAGTGGAGACATGAAGTCAGGAACATGGAGGTAGGGTTTGGGGGAAGCTGGAGCGGGGAGTGAGGGTGGATTTTGTTGTTGTTGTTGTTTTTTGTTTTGTTTTTCGAGACAGGGTTTCTCTGTAGTTTTGGAGCCTGTCCTGGAACTCACTGTGTAGACCAGGCTGGCCTTGAACTCACTGAGATCCACTTGCCTGAGTGTTGGTGTACACCACCAACACCCAGCAAGGGAGGATATTATTAAAATACATTGAATACATGTATGAAATCCTGAATAAGTTAAAAAAAAAAAGCTGGAGAGACGGCTCAGTGGTTAAGAGTACATACTGCTCTTGCAAAGGGCATGTTTGGTCCCCAGAACCCACATTTTTAGTGGTTCACAACCTCCTGTAACTCCAGCAGCACAGGGGACCAACAACTCTAACGTCCATGAGTGTATGCACTCACATGTAGATATCTACCCACAAACATATGCACATAATTTAAAAAATAAGCTTAAAACTAAAACAAAAATAGTTTTTTTTTTAATTCTCTAATAGCCTATGCCTAAGGATGTAAGCAGATGTGGGTGTTTGGGGATCTCCTCAGGTGCCAATGCATTTTAATTTTATTTTTATTAAGACTTGTTTGTTGGGGCTAAAGAGATGGCTCAGTGGTTAAGAGCACTCACTGACTGCTCTTCTAGGTTCAATTCCCAGCAGCTACATGGCAGCTTAAGGGCTATCTGTAGTTCCCTGGGATCTAACATCCTCACGCCAATGCACATAAAATAAAGTTAAATAAATTATTTCTTTAAAAGACTGGATTCTAGATTTAAAAAGTCTTGCAGCCAATCAGTGGTGGCACATGCCTTTAATCTCAGCGCTCAGGAGACAGAGGCAGTCAGATCTCTGTGAGTTCGAGGCCAGCCTGGTCTACAGAGCTAGTTCCAGGACAGCTAGAACTGTTACACAGAGAAACCCTGTTTGGAAAAACAAAACAAAACAAAAAAAGACTTGCTTGTTTTTATTTCAAGTGTACGACTACTTTGCCTGCATGCATGTACATCATGAGAATTCAGTGACCCTGGAGGCCAGAAAAAGGCACCGGTGCCCCTAGCACAGCAGGTACAGATGGTTTTGAGCTACCATGGGGGTGCTGGGAATTGAACATGGGTCCTCTGCAACTGCTATTTAAACCCCAACTTCTTTAGAACTTGTTTTTTAAAGAAAAAAAAAAGGGGGTTCCATGTGGAATTTTTACAAAAATACCTGAGGCTTCTGAGCAAGTTACAGAGGGTTGCACCTGGGGGCTCGGCAGAGCCAACCTGAGAAAACTGTCTGAGTAGGATCCCAGCCTTAATCATGGAAAGGAGCAGCTATTGCCAACCACAGACAAAGCACTGCGACAGCTGGAATCTGCCACTCATTCCACTTCAGTAACAGTTAAAGCAACTTACCCAGTAAGGATAGAGTTGACAACCTGGTGGCCTACTCTGTGAGGATGACCCAGCATCCAGTACTGCAGAGGCAGTACACACATTTACAACAACACCATGTGGTGTCTGCAAACCCTGTCACCAATGCCATGCAGGCTGTGCTGAGATTCTTGTGAGTCACTGAATCTCCCCCCAGTAATTGAACCAACAGTCAAACTCAAAAAGGTACTGAAAGGGATGCCACCCATACCCATAGACTGCTGTTACAAGATGATGGCCCAACTAAGGTCACTAGCCAGAAATGGTGCTACAGTGACGCACTGAACACAGATGCCCAGTGACAAGGGAGAGGACGGGAGTAGCAGCCAGGGGCTGAGTTCAGAGCAATGTGGATGAGACTCACCCTTCAGCTCTCTCCAGAGGCTTGACTATAGATGGCCCAATGGGATGGGGGACTGATGGGAAGTGGACAGCCACAGAAAAGAGCAGATTTGAAAATATATTGTACAGCTACGTTAAATATACACAGTATATAGATATCTAATTGTATGTGTTTAAGTTCAATCAATGTATAAAACATGAACACTTAATATATAATACAGAAGCAGAGCCTTGTGGTTTCCTGTGTAACAGCCTACAGGCCCCAAATTGTCACATGCAACCTTCAGTCCCTTGACACAAAGTTGTTCGGTTTGTACCCTCAGTGCAGAAGAGACTGGACTGGGATGTTCTGAGAGAAGGCTTTTCTGGAGGCAAGATAAAGTTGTCTGTGTGCCCCTGCATGTGATTTTGTGTGCAGGTGTGCAGCACCTGTTTTAGAGATAGTCTCACACTGACCCTGAATCTGGCTGTTTTGGCTAGACCGGCTGGCCAGCAAACCCAGGGATCCACCTGTCTCCATCTCCTCCGGGCTGGAGTCACAGGTGCCCATTGCCATTATACTTACTAGCTTTTACATGGGCTTTGGGGGTCTGCCCCCTACCCATCCTGCTGCTTGCATAGAAGCATTTTACCCACTGAGCCATCTCCCCAGCCTCAGACTCTTTACAAAACCTTGAAACAGAGTATTTCTGTAAGAATTCTCTGATTTAGCTGGGCGGTAGTTTATGCTTTTAATCCTAGCAATCGGGAGGCAGAGATGGGCAGATCTCTGACTGAGTTCTAGGACAGCCTCGTCTACAGAATGAGTTCCAGGACAGCCAGGGCTACACAGAAAAACCAAAGAGACAGAGCAAGGGGGGTGGGAAGGGGGGGATGTTCTCTGGTTTGAACTAAAAGGCAAAAATCTGACTCCTTTAATTGTTCCCAAGAGGCAATTGTCCCCATTTTATATAGAGAGACAACGAATAACCTGAGGTTCAAACCTGAATTCTGTCTGCATCTTCTAAATGACTCTACCAGCCAGGCGTTGGTGGTGCCTGCCTTTAATCCCAGCACTTGGGAAGCAGAGGCAGGCGGATCTCTACGAGTTCCGAGCCAGCTGGGTCTACAGAGTGAGTTCCAGGACAGTCTCCAAAACAATACAGAAAAAAACCTGCCTTGAAAAAACAAAAACAAAAACAAACCAAAAGACAAAATGACTCTTCGCAGCCCTGCTCCAGGCCTTGCTGACCTGTCATATTCCCCCTAGGCAAGGTGGGAGATGCCTGCCACCTGTGCATTTCCCAGCCTGAGGACTCCCAGGTGGGTGGGGCTGGGCGCTGGGATTGGCTTCCAGGCGTGGTAAAGGCAAGGGGCTGACAGAGGCAGGCAGGTCGACTAGCAGAGCCCGGCTGCAGCCACCATCACGATTGCCACGCCCAGTGCTGGGGCTGCTTGGTGACCCATTTCTGGGTGCCCTGAACACCATGGACCCCAGTGGCCAGGCCTGCGCACTCTCCTCACTCTATGTGGGCGATCTGCACCCCGATGTAACCGAAGCTATGCTCTATGAGATGTTCTCCCCCATCGGCACTATTCTGTCCATCCGCGTGTGTCGGGATGTGGCCACCCGGCGCTCGCTGGGCTATGCCTACATCAACTTCCAGCAGCCTGCTGACGGTGAGCCCCAGAGAAGAGTAAAACCTTGCTTTTAACATCCTTGGGCAAAATAATGTCCTTTTGATAACCCCTATTCTGAACTGGAAGGTTTTATTTCAAATGAACTTCTCTTAGCTAAGTAATAGTGATTTTCTATCTTTTAGGCAGAAATGGGCCTGTAACTAATTGTTGATATTTAGTATAACATATCCTAGCCGGTGAAGAAGGGCAGCCTGTTTCCATTTTCTGTGTCACAATTAGGGAAACTGAGACCCAGACACTGGGAGTTGGAAGGCAGGCATCTAGAGAATTGGCAATTACTGCTGGGTGTGCCAGTTGTTGCTGAGTGGCTTTGGTGTTGAGCAGACCTGGATTAAGAATCCAGGATCATACAGAGAAACCCTGTCTCGGAAAAAAAAAAAAAAAAAAAAAAGAATCCAGGATCTGTGTGACATTGGGCAAATGGTTCAACCATTTTGAACTCAGTTGCCTAAGTGGAAGGAAAACTGGAGTTCTGCCTCCATTCCAGAGTGGCTATATCAGAGATTGACAGCACCTGGAAGGAGGCTGCCCAAAGCCTTGCAGGTGGAGAATGGGGAAGCCTAGGATCTCTGCCCTCCAGTGTAGCCTGACATGGGGTCTACACCAGGTGCCTCACCTTCCTGATTCCGGAAAAGCTTCATTGTCTCGGCTTTGTCGGCCACTGGGGGGAGGGGATTGCTTTGTAGTTGTCAGCTGAGCATGTCTGGGCCTCTGCTGAGAATGGAGGACAAGGGTTAAGAGCCATGGGTTTAGCCTGGCGTTGGTGGCACACGCCTTTAATCCCAGCACTGGGGAGGCAGAGGCAGGCGGATCTCTGTGAGTTCGAGGCCAGCCTGGTCTACAGAGTGAGTTCCAGGACAGCCTCCAAAACAATACAGAGAAACCTTGTCTTGAAAAACCAAAAAAAAAAAAAAAAGAGCCATGGGTTTTGCTGGAGCTGTCACTAGGTAGGATCAGCCTTAGTGGGACCAAGGCCTGTTCCTCAGTAGCATGAAGGATGGAGAACTGGAGTGTGAAGGACCATTTGGGACACTGGATGTACTCTTTAAGTGACAGCCTGTGAACCATTCCAGAAAAGTAAGCAAGAACTGGCCTCCCCCAGCTACAGGCAAGAAAATTAATTTGAGACCAGCCTGGGCTATGTATTGAGACCCTGTCTCAAAATGAAGAAAGACCCCGTAGTTCAGGCATCCTGGGTGAGTCGAGGGGTTCCCAGAATCCAGGGTGTTCTCTCCCTCTACTGTACCCCACTTCTGCCTCCTCTTGCCTCTGCAAGGCTCATGAGTGAAACAGGACCTGACCCTCCGGGACAGTGCGGGGATGGGAGATCTGAACTGTAGGGTTCTGTTCCTGACTGGGTATGTTGGTACAGATTTCTGTGCTCCCTCTACTCTGTTCCTTTTGCCCCTTCTGTGCCTCTGAAGCTAGCACATTATGTGCAAAAAAATAGGCTGTCAGAGTAGGTGGATGGCAGGCAGAGGTGGCTTGACACACCCCATTTACCAAACACCTGTTCCCCAAGTAGTACACAACTCAAGTACCATTAGATGCATGCTCTGTTTCCCAACCAGCTGATCGCCCAGCAGCTGGTGCCATTGCTTCAGTTAGGTGTGGGTAGGAAGGTACCACCATCTCCTTACTTCACAGGTGGGGATGAGGGACTGGTGAGGGGGCTGCTTCCCTTTCCTTTACCTGCTCATCCATGAAATGTCCATTCAAGGCTAGAATAGCCTGGGTCTGCCTTTCCAGGCCTCAGTCTCCCCATCTCTAAGACAGGATCCATGCTACTTGCTGAGAGTTGATCTTTCCAGAATGTCCAGGGAGTACCATGTACACTAATTCCCTCAGCTTTAATCCACCTCAGTCTCCAGGCTCATATCTCAAGTGAGAACCAGATTATGGCTTTCCTTCCCTCGCTCCTAGTAAGCACCATGGAGACTCAGGGTCACAAATGTCATCTAACTCCCCCCTTTCCCTCCTTGCCTCCTCCCCAGCGGAACGGGCACTGGATACAATGAACTTTGAGATGATCAAAGGCCAGCCCATCCGAATCATGTGGTCCCACCGAGACCCAGGGCTTCGAAAGTCTGGCATGGGCAACATCTTTATCAAAAACTTGGAGAATTCCATTGACAACAAGGCTCTCTATGACACCTTCTCCACCTTCGGGAGCATCCTCTCTTCTAAGGTGGGTGTGGCCCTCTAGGAGAGTCAGTTGATGTCAGATACCTCTGTGGTAGAGGGATACCAACCGGCACCCCATTCACAGGCTTTGGGTACAGCAGGTTTTGTCTTCTTAGAATCATTAGGTCACACACACACACACACACACACACACACACACACACTACTCACACACACACACACACTCACACACACACACACACACAATAGCTAGCTCATGGAATAATCACCCTAGCTCATGGCTGTCAACAACACTGTTATTTAATTTATAATTCTGAATTGGTGATTTGCGTTGAGCTCAGTTGGAGAGCATTTCTGGCCTTGGTTGGCTTCCCTCCCAGGCAACCTGAACCTGGTGGGAACTCTCAGGAGGCCCTATGGGCTTGGGCGGCTGTCAGTTGAAACATCTGGGATTTCCTGGGTGGTCTTCCATGCTCCTGTAGGCTAGCCCAGGCCTTTCTCACAGCTGTGCCAGGTCTCAGAAAACTGGAAGCAGAAACTCACCAGGCTACCTGTAACTTCAACTCAGGATCAGGACCCCTTTATTCTTCCTGTTCTCTATAGACCAAAGCCAGTCACACACCAATCCACATTCAAGCGAGGGGGTGGTTAACAGCAACCACAAAACAGAATTAAGTGTCTGGTTATGATAAAGTTATTAATTGGGGACATTGTAGCAATTGGCAGACACATCTTGCTTCTGGTTTCCCTTGCTGCTGGAGATGGAACCAACTCTACCACTGAGTATCATGCCCAACCCCCACCACGTCATGTTTTTAAGAACTTTCTTACATTAGAACGTAAAGTCCATTTGAGTGTCGTTATTATTTCTAGTCACTGCTGTGTCTCTGAGTCTCCTATGTGCTCAGTTTCTGCATCCATGGGGACACTAATTTGCCCCCATTGTGACATTCAGTAAGTACTGGATGAATTATGATTTGAGAAAGGTTCTGATTAGTTCTCCAACCTTATATATGAGGCTACACAGGACTAGAGACTTTACAGCAGGCCAGTGTGTGCTAAGTGGATAGAGCCTAGGTGTCCTAGATGTCACCAAGGATGGCCAGTTGTGCCCCAAGAGGTCTCTAGAGGGACAAAGGCAGAGGAACCATGATCTCTGGGTTTGAGCCTCTCCTGAACACTGATCTGAGCCCCTGCAGTCCCTAAGCTCTCAGCTGGACCCTCCCACCTTCCCTGTGAAGAGGGCCTGTCTGCCACTCAAAGGAGCAGACTGACACCTGGGGTGGGTTGTGTTGCTCCTTGCTTTGATGACCAGAGGGAGGAAGAAGCTTAGTTGTGGGGTCAGCTCTTACGTACCTTCAGCACATTCTTTCTGTGTGCTTGGCTGTCTGCCTCTGTAGGCACTCTGGATTCCTCCCTACCACTCCTTAAGGTGTCCCCAGGAGGATTCTGAGTTTTGCTTGAGGCCTCAGGTTTGGAGCAATAAGGTTGCGAGTCCGCTGTTCAGTGCAGTACATGCATAGGATTAACATTAAAAGCTTTGGGTTTAGGGAGGTGTTGGTGGCACATGCCTTTAATCTCAGCATTCTGCAGGCAGAGGCAGGTAGATCTCTGTGAGTTCGAGGCTAGCCTGAAGTTCCAGCACAGAGAAACTCTGTCTCAGAAGCAAACAAAAAAAGCTTTGGGTTTGAATGATTTTGTGGGGCTTTTGTTGTTGTTGTTGTTTGTTTTCAAGGTTGGTTGGTTTGATTGGTTGGTTTTTCCAGACAAGGTTTCTCTGTGTAGCTTTGCAGACCAGGCTGGCCTTGAACTCACAGAGATTCACCTGCCTCTACCTCCAGAGTTCTGGGATTAAAGGCTTGCATCACAACCACCTGGTTTGTTTTCAGGTTTTTTGTTTTGTTTTGAGACAGGGTTTCTCTGTGTGGCCATGGCTGTCCTGGAATTCACTCTGTAGACCAGGCTGGCCTCAAACTCTGAGATCTACCTGCCTCTATCTATTGGGATTAATGTGCCAACACTACCTGGGGTTTTTTTGTTTTGTTTTGTTTTGCTTTTTGAGACAAGGTCTTCCTCAGGCCTGGCTGACCGTGAGTTAGTATGGCTGTGTAGCCCAACTACTCTCAAACTCAAAGCAGTTATCCTGTCTCAGTCTCCTGTGTGCTACTGTGCCTGGCTTTATAGCCAATTTGAACTAGTGGGTTCAAATTTACCAGTTAACTGAAGCAGATTAAGCAAGGGGAAATCTGTCTTCCCCCCTTCCTCAGGCCTTGAGTCCTCTGGGCTACTAAAGACTGGATAGCAACCCTCGTGTGACATAGGCAAGTCCTTGTCGGCCTCGGGAGACTATGTTGTGGGCTTGCTTAGAAACAAGGTCCCTACAATGAGGTCTCTACCTCCATTCCAGGGATCTTGGCTGAGATTAGTAGGAATGACTGGAAATTGGGCTAACAGGGAAGACTGAGGTTCTTAAGGAGTCAGGGGCCCAGAAAGGAGGGGGGCATTAGGCCAATCAGGAAAGATTGCTGTGGCACCATGAGAAGAACACATGATCTGAGTCAGGTCACCTAAGTGCACAGCCAACTGCATAGCAACAAGGAAATATAATACATTGGGTCAGAAAGAGGACTCGTACGGCCGGATGTCCTGAGTTCAAAGATTGTCATTTCTTGACTCTGCACCTACTCTGGCTTCCTTGAAAAGGGGCCATGGTAGCACTCCCTTCATAGGGCTGTGGGAGTTATGTGCAGCCTATGAAAAGGTGCCTGGGACATGAAACGTCCATATGAACACACAACAATTATGAAATTGCTACGGAATAGTTGACCTTGGACCAGTCATTTACCCTAATCTTCCCAGTCTCAGAAGTTAAGAATTGCCTGGAGAGGTTCTCCTGGAACATGGAACAAGATAAGTATATGTCTTTAGCTGGTGATGAATCCAGAGTGGGTGGGGGAGAGTCAACATGGCTAAGTCTGGAAGGCTTGACCTTGAACTAAAAGTGAAAAGGCCCTGCTTGGGGGTGGAGCGGTAGAGGAGTTTGTGATGGGTAGGAGTTTGAGGCTTGTATTTATTCTATGTATGTGTTTGTGCCTGCTTGTCTCTGTGGGCATTATGTGCAGCAGGCAGTACCCCTGAAGGCCAGAAGAGGGTGTTGGGTTCCCTGGAACTAGAGTTACTTGCAGTTGTGAGCTCTCCAGTATGGAATGAAACACAGGTCCTCTGCAAGAGCAGCAGTGCTCATAACCACAGGACCTTCTCCCCAACTCCATGCAGGATTTGTCGTGCAGGGCCCATCAGAGGAGCCTAAACCTGTCAAGCTGACAGGTTCCTCTGCATGGCTGAAACCATTGGAAGTTAAAGGGACCTAGTCACAATTGAGTTTTAGGAAAAGAAACTAAAATATAAGGCTCTGCCCTTTCCAGCCTGAGCTACAAAGTAAGATCCTACCTCAAAAATCCCCCAAACAAACAAAAGCCAACATGTGTGTGTGTGTGTGTGTGTGTGTGTGTTTGCGTATTTCAAAACTTCCTATTTGTAGATCCCACTTTAACCCAAACAGGCTTGGTTTCTGCCTGCCCCTTAGTTATCTCTTTCAAATAACCGTCAGCCTCATAACCCACCACATTCTCTCCAGCCGCGTGTGCAGTAGACCAGGACAACTGTACACAGCTTATATCACTAGCCTCCCCTGAGATGCTCACAGTATCTCCAGTTTGCAATCAGGATGGGCGCAGCTATGGGGTTGAAATCCTAAGTCCGCTCCTCCTTATGCTGTCACCTCAAGCAAATGGATTGGTCTCTCTAAACTTCATTCTCCAAATCTAAACTGGGGCCGTTCTGAGGTTAAATCTGTCTCCCCCCCATCAGATGAAACCCAAGGTCTAGTGCCTGTTATAGAAGGCTGTCACCGAGCTCCAGCTACACAGCTGTCTTTTATACTCACCAACGAACATTCATGTACTAGTCATTACCCCTCTGTCCTCGTTTTCTCCCTGAAGTCCCTGTCGGGTGGTCTCTCTGTCCTTCCTCCCTGTGACCCAGGTAGTGTATAATGAACATGGATCGCGGGGCTTCGGCTTTGTACATTTTGAGACCCATGAGGCTGCCCAGAAGGCCATCAACACCATGAACGGGATGTTGCTGAATGACCGAAAAGTGTGAGTTCCCGGCCCTGGCGGGAGGGCAGAGGCTGAAGGGGCAGAACTGTGGAATAGGGAGTGTTGCTTCTGCGACTGTCTATGGGCACGAGGTGCTGGCAGAGCTCTTCCTTGGAATGTCACCTTGGGTGAGTGGCTCGGCCTCTCTGGGACTCTTGTGTAAAACTGGAGTTGGTAGGCATCAAAGGACTATTCTGAACCATGGATAAGACTTCTAGAGGGAATAGCTGATGGCCGAATCATCGATGGGCTTGATGACTTCATCCATTTTTCAATGTCCATATTGCTGCTGTTTCTTTCCTCTGTCTTGTGTGTTGTTCCATGGGATCTGGGGGCAGACAGGAAGGCAGGCATCTGTTTGGACAAGCAGCAGGCCTGTCCGAGTTTGGTATCATCCCACTTTACAGATGGGAAAACTGTGCCGCAGATCCGGGGAGAATCTGCCTCTGGCTTCTTCTTTCCAAGTCTGGAATCTGTCCATCTGGTGGCCCAATCACCACATTCAGCACTGTGCAGGGAAGGCAGCTGTTTTGTTTTGTGTTTTTTTTTTCTTTTTGACACAGGGGCCTCATACTATACAGCTGGAGACGATCTTGAACTCCCCAGCCTTCTGCCTCCACCTCCCAAGTACTAAAATTACATGTGTGAACGACTAGCCCTGCCTAGAGAGGAGAGTTTTGAGCTGCCAGAGGCACTGGGTTATTTGATCTGGAGTTTCTCTGGGGAGGGAGCTGTGTACTGATCTTACTGCTTTGTTCTGAGATTCCCTGGATTCAGATAGCAACCACTTTTCTGTATTGACCTCTGGCACCTGGTGTTCAAGTCCTGGTGTCTGCTCCAAGAAACCTGTGTTCCACATACCACCTGCCTTTCTTATGTCTGGCATTTGTTAACCGAGGGTTATTTTAAGCCAAGTGCAGTAGTGTGCGCCTGTAGTCCGGCTGCTGAGGCAGAGGGATTATTTGAGTTTAGGAGTTTCACAGACTTCTGGGTGACATAACAAGATTCTCATAGTCTCTCTGTCTCTCTGTCTCTCTGTCTCTCTCTCTCTCTCTCTCTCTCTCCCTCTCTCTCTCTCCCTCCCTCCCTCTCTCTGTCTCTCTCTCTCTCTCTCTCTCTCTCTCTCTGTCTCTCTCTCTCTCTCTCTCTCTCTCTCTCTCTCTCTCTCCCTCCCTCCCTCTCTCTCTCTCTCTCTCTCTCCCTCCCTCCCTCCCTCTCTCTCTCTCTCTCTCTCTCTCTCTCTCTCTCTCTCTCTCTCAAAAATGATTCTTAGATGTGTTTATGTAAACTTAAACATTTCTAGATTTTTCCTCTTTTTGGCTGTGCTTGGAATTAAACTAGGGGTTCACACGTGCTAGGCAAACACTCTGCCACCAACAGCAAACTATATCCCTAGCCCAGAATCTCCAATTTTTTTTCAGAAACTTAAATTTTTAAAAGGAACTTTTAAAAATTTTACATACCAATCCCAGTACCCTCTCCTTCCCCTCCTCCTGTGCCCTCCACCCTACCTCTCATCCACTCCTCACAGAAGGTGAGGCCTCCCATGGGGGAAACTCCAGATTTAAAATAAATGTCGTATTTAAATGATGACAGTCTGTCTTCACCCATCTCTAGTGATCCTGGCACTGACGATGTCTGATTAGCTCACCCTCGCTTCTCTGGTACTCTCCATGCTTGTTAAATGAATAATTAAAGCCCCCATGGTGTGACTTGGACCCCAGATTCACAGAAATGAACTCTGGGGCTCAGAGAGGTTCAGTAACTTGCTTAGGATCACACAGCTAGGCAACTACAGTGAGGATCCGAACTTGTGTCCAATTCCAAATGCATGCTCTTCTCTCTTCTTTGCTGTGCTCTCAGCTACCCCGTCTAGAGCATCTGCCCTGTATGCATTTGTTGCTAGATTAACGTTCTTGTAAGCTCGGGCTTCTGTGTGCATTTGCCACTAGACGAAAGTTCTTGTAACCTTGTGCAAGGTGGAGCTCTAGGCTTCTTGCCTATTGAAAACTGCTGAGCTTTGGATGCATTCCATGGAGTATGACTCTGCCAGGGTTCCCAACAACAGACAGGAAACTAAAGGACAGCAATCGGTCCAAGTGACCCAGGGTTGCCAGGCGAGCTTGGACGGGGATGAAGGGATGATGAGCTTGGACTGGATGAAGGGATGATGAACCTGGGCTTTTACTCTGCTGATGTGTCCACAGCTTTGTAGGCCACTTCAAGTCTCGTCAAAAGCGGGAGGCAGAGCTGGGGGCTCGGGCCCTGGGATTCACCAACATCTATGTGAAGAATCTGCACATGGACTTGGATGAGCAGGGCCTCCAGGACCTCTTCTCCCAGTTTGGTGGGCATGTTCTCCAAAGGAGGAGGGGGACACTATTCTTCTTCCATGCCCAGGTCTGGTGGGAGGAGGACTTCCCTAGGATTTCCTGGGGATTTATAGGAAGGAAGTAAACACGCTGGCCTTTTTCCCCAACCCCCTGCTAAGCCAGTTCGGTCCTTCCTAGGAAAGATGCAGAGTGTGAAGGTGATGAGAGACAGCAATGGCCAATCCAGGGGCTTCGGCTTTGTCAACTTTGAGAAGCATGAGGAAGCCCAGAAGGTAGGTGCCTCTGTGGACCTGCTCCAGTGAAGAGGTACAAAGCCAGGACTGAGAAGCCAGAAGATCAGGAGCGGGCCTGCAAGTGGAGGGCAAGAAAACACCCTCCCCTGGCTCAGGATGCCAGGATCAAAGGCTCTAGGGTTATCTGTTTGTGTTGGCTTCTAAGCCTAGAAGTTCAAAGAATTGAACATTTAGGTGGGGAAGCAAAAGTCCTCACTATGGATACATATTTGCTAATACTCTTTTTTTTTTCTTGGTTTTTCGAGACAGGGTTTCTCTGTAGCTTTGGAGATTGTCCTGGAACTCACTTTGTAGACCAGGCTGGCCTCGAACTCACAGAGATCAGCCTGCCTCTGCCTCCCGAATGCTGGGATTAAAGGCATGCGCCACCAACGCCCGGCCAACTGACCTCATTTTTTCCCCCCTTTGGTTTTATGAGACAGGGTTTCTCTCTCTCTCTCTCTCTCTCTCTCTCTCTCTCTCTCTCTCTCTCTCTCTCTCTCTCTCTCTTTTTAAAGATACACTTATTTATTATGTATGCAGTGTTCTGCCTGCATGCCTAGGGGCCAGCAGAGGGCGCCAGATCTCATGAATAGTTGTGAGACGCCATGTGGTTGTTGGGGATTGAACTCAGGATCTCTGGAGGAGCAGCCAGTGCTCCTAACTGCTGAGCCATCTCTGTAGCCTAATAACTGACTCCTTTTTTTAAGAAGAAGCCTCCTCTCCCTCAAATATTTCTTCCCACACCAGCAAAAAAAAAAAAAAAAAAAAAATCCCGAACACTGAGTCAGTATGCTCTTGGACCTGACTTCCGATGCTTTCTGTGAATAGACAAGGGGAATTCAGTTCTCAAGTGGATTACAGAGAGAACCTGCTTGGTTCCTCGGTGTTCTGGCCGAAGATGCAGGATTTTATGTTATCTAACAGGTTCATGCCATTTAAGAGAAGAAAAAGTTTGGGGCTGAAGAGATGGCTCAGTGGTTAAGAACACTTGTTGCACCGGGCGGTGGTGGCGCACGCCTTTAATCCCAGCACTTGGGAGGCAGAGGCAGGTGGATCTCTGTGAGTTTGAGGCCAGCCTGGTCTACAGAGCTAGTTCCAGGATAGTCTCCGAAGCCACAGATAAACCCTGTCTCGAAAAACCAAAAAATAAACAGACAAACAAACAAACAAAAACCCCACTTTCTGCTCTTCCAGAGGCCACTGAGTTCAGTTCCCAGCACCCACATCAGGCAGCTCACAACCTGTAACTCCAGCTTTGGGGGGGAGGAGGTCTGATGCCCTCTTAAGCACTTACCCACAGGTGGCATACTGACACAGATAGACACCAAACACATACATTAAAAAATCTTTTTTAATGTTTGAAAACAAGATTGAGGCAGCTGAGAGATGGCACAGTGGTTAAGAGCACTGGCTGCTCTTAAGGAAGACTCAGGTTCAATTCCCAGCACCCACACGGCAGCTCACAACCACCTGTGATTCCACTTCCAGGGGATCTGGACACCCTCTTTGGGCCCCCATGGGCAACATACACAGACACAAATGCAAATACTTATACACATAAAATAATAAAATAGCTTTAAAGAAATTTTAAAGATACTTTTAAAAAGAAAAATCAGAATTGAAGTGCAGATGTTTCTAAAAATCTTTATAGAAAAAAAAGGAAAAAAGAATTGTTCTGTGTTGTAAACTATAACATGAAGGATGTTATTTTGGAAGAATGATTTTTTTTTTGCTCAAATTAGCCCATGTTGTGGCATTAGAATAGGTCTAGCCTATTTTGTAATAGGCCTTCTAGGACAATTTAAAGTTCACAGCCAAACTGAATAGAGGGAATGGATAGTTCATACGTATGCCTGTCACCTCACACACACAGCCCCCCCAGTATCAGTATCCCCCACCAGAGTGGCGCATTTGTCACACTGATGAACCTACTTTGGCACATGCACCATTGTCACCTTTTGAGTGTCCCTAGTTTACAGCAGGGTTCATTCTTGGTTGGTGTTGTTCACGCTCTGGGTTTGGATGAATGTAGAAGAGTATGGAGAGTGTTCTCACTCTCTAAACCCGTGCTCTGAACATCTTTTCCAATATTCTAGCCCCCGGAGCTTTTCACTGGCCTCATAGTTCTGCCTTTCCCAGAATGTCACTTGGATAGAGTTAGACAGCTTGTGCCCTTTACTGTTTGGTTCCTTTCAGTGTAATCCATTTAAATATTTGGTATTTAAATATGGGACTAGAGAGATCCAAGTTTAATCCCCAGCCTTCACATTAGGAGACTTAACAATCCCTGTAACTCCAGCTCTCGGGGACCTGATGTCTTCTTCTGGCCTCTGTAAGCACTTGCACACAGGTACTCATACCCTCACCCAGATAAACACACCTACACATACTTTAAAAAAAAAACCTCAAACTTTTTAATATGGAAAGCTTAACATTAATTCTGAGTTTTGTGTTTGGGTTTTGTTTTTCTTTTCTTTTTGTTCAAGACAGAGTCTCAGCTTATAGCCCTAGAGTAGACTAAACTAGTTGTGTACTTAACTGAATCCCTCTGCTCCTGTCTCCTGGTGCCAGGGTTTACAGTCATGTTGTTGCCACACAGGCTTCTCTATTCTGCTTTTCAAAATAAAAATGTAACGAAAAATTTAAAATCCACAATTTACTCTAGACTCTTGTGCAATATCTTTTAAAAGCGGTTGTCTTTTATGAGGCCTTTCCCTGGTATTTATTCCCAGCTAGGAAGACCAGCCTAGTTGTAAGCTGCCTCCTCTGGCCCCAAAGGCAAAATGGGAGATGGGGCCACATCCGGATGGTTCACCATGTGTACTCTTCCTGCCTTCCAGGCCGTGGACCACATGAATGGGAAGGATGTGAGGGGACAGCAGCTGTATGTGGGTCGGGCCCAGAAGCGGGCAGAGCGGCAGAGCGAGCTGAAGCGCAGGTTTGAACAGATGAAGCAGGAGAGGCAGAGCCGCTACCAGGTGAGGACAGGCCTCACAAAGGCTGTGGCTTCTGTCTGAAAGTGGGGTGGAGGGGCACTCTGAATGAGAGTCCTTCCCACAGCCACCCTCCTTCTAGAAACATGGCTTGGGGCTGGAATCAGATGGGGTAGATGTCACCACCTGGCTTGTGACAGAGGAGAAGTAGCATATAACTGGACCACAAAGGGCTGTTTGGAATAATCTCTCTCTTCTCTCTCTCTCTCATGTTGGGATTATAGCTATGAGCCACTATATTCTACAAGTTAACTAATTAAACCTAATAGTGTATATCAATGCAGTGTAACTTTTTAGAGATGAACCCCTCTAAATTTTTTAAATACAAGTACTAGATTTTATGGAGAATGTTCATGGTGTGTGTGTATGCATGCATACTCTATTGTAATGCATCCATGTGTAATAGTTGCCAGTGAGAGACAGCTTTCTTCTCATTGCAGGGACACTTGACAATGTCTTTCAGCTACCACATTTCGGGGTTTGGGGGGCATTCTGGCAAACATCCTATGGTGGGCAACACAGCTCACACAACAAAGAACTGGCACAAGAGGTCGTTTTTGACATCTCTAAGACGGGGATTGAAGTTTCCTCATCTTAGGGTTGATGTATGAAAGGGCTTAGAGTGTCACCTTGCGTCACGTAAGATGGAAGAGTGGCAGCTATCCTATACTCTGACTAAAGCACAATTGGCCCGTCAGGAGTTTTGCCTACAGCTGTTCTACCCAGTCTTCGGAGAGCTGTGTGGCTGAGCTCTGAGCCTCACAGCCTGCTGTAGGTAGGTCTGAGACCTCCTTCTGTGGTCCCCATGTGTGGGATGAGATGCTGCTAGACTCTGCAGGTGTGTGGAAGCGGTTGTAGGCCTTACACGTCATGGGAGCCGCAGTAGCTGGGGATGGACAGACTGAGTAGTTACATGAGGCTGGGCCCTGCATGTCCCTTGTGGCTCTTCCAGCCGCTGATCCAACCCCACACCACGCTGTCTGGGAGGAGAGGGAGGGCGCATTGAGCACTGTCCCTTCTTCCAGGGTGTGAACCTTTATGTAAAGAACTTGGATGACTCCATTAATGATGAGAGGTTGAAGGAAGTTTTCTCTGCCTATGGAGTGATCACCAGTGCTAAGGTGAGGACTGCAGCACTCCCTGCCCTGCCCTTCACGCTGTCCCCCCTGCACAGCCCCCAGCTTCTCCCCCCCTGCACAACCCCCAGCTCCTCACCCCTGCACAGCCCCCAGCCTCTTGCTTGGCTTCCAGGCACTTTGGGTTGAGTTCTTCTTTCTGGCACTGGCTAACACTTTTGGAGATCCACCAGCAGTCTTGTCTGGATTGGACGGGAAGAAATCAAACATATAATCTAGCTGGAGGGCTGGGCTTGATGCACTATAACCTTGTTTTATTCAACAAACATCCACTGACACCTACTATATGTCGGTTCCAAAAAATTTACAGTTTCTGAGCCTCAGTTTACTTTTCTGGAAAATGAGACAGCCAGGCTGTCACTCATCACTCTTCCCTCATTCTTCCTCATTTGTTGAGTTCCAGCTGTGTGCCCAGTCCTGTGAAGTACCTAAGATGTGACAAATGGCCATTCTACTCAGCAATTCCATGACTGTGAAGGAGGCTTAGAGTCCATGTCTCATTCACAAGATGAAGGTGCAGCATAGACTGTGTGCTTCTCTGCCCTGGCTTCTCATCTGGGTCAGACAAGATGCATGTACAATTCTGAGGGCATGACCTGAACATTTGACTTTTATTTTTACTTAAAAGTTTATTACATTTGCCGGGCGTTGGTGGTGCATACCTTTAATCCCAGCACTTGGGAGGTAGAGGCAGGCGGATCTCTGTGAGTTTGAGGCCAGTCTGGTCTACAGAGTGAGTCCAGGACAGGCTCCAAAACTATACCGAGAAACCCTGTCTCGAAAAACCAAAAAAAATTTTTTATTACATTTTATTAAGTATGTGTATGTACACACATGCCCAGAGTTCAGAGGTCAGCCTGTGAGAGCCAGTTCTCTCCCTTCCACTGTGTGGCTCTGAGGGTTCTAATTCAGGTCATCAGGCCTGGCAGCAAGTACCTTTACCTGCTGAGCATCTCTCCAGACCTAGGGACATTTGACTTTATAAAAGCAGCCCAGGTGATTGTAAGATAGCCTGATATTTATTCATTTCATGCTAGGTTCTGTGGCAAGCATATACAGATACTTAAGCCATGATCTGTACCTTTGAGGTCTTCCTGGCCTGGTGATGAGATCAGATGCATCACTGTTGTGAGATGGGAGGCCTGGACTGGGGCGAGCTCAGTTGCTAAAGTGCTTGCTTTGCCAGCATGAGGACCTGAGTTCTATCCTAAGGGCATAGGTAAGATAAAAGGCCAGGTGTGGTGGTGCGACTCTGTGTGCAGTGGCACAGCACCGTGTGTGGTGGTTTGGAGCTGTGTGCGGTAGTGCAGTTCTGTGTGCAGTGGTACAGTTCTGTGTGCGGTGGTGCAGTTCTGTGTGCAGTGGTGCGGTTCTGTGTGCAGTGGTTTGGTGCTGTGTGCAGTGGTGCGGTTCTGTGTGCAGTGGTGCGGTTCTGTGTGCAGTGGTGCGGTTCTGTGTGCAGTGGTTTGGTGCTATGTACTGTAATCCCAGATAGATTGAGGGTCAGTCATCCTCTCGAACTTGAGACCCTGTTACAAAACAAAGGTGGATACCACTTGAGGAATGATACCTATGGTTGTCCTCTGGCCTCCGTTGAGACGTGCATGTTAACCTGCACACATACAAACATGTGTTTCTGCACAGGAGCACACATACAAACATGCACACACCCACACGATGGGAGGCAGTGATGGAGAAAGATGGGCCTCATTGGCACAGGAGATGACTTCCTGGAGGGATGAAAATGACTCGACTATGAGGAGACAGGGAACAGGGATAGGAAGAGGTTGTATAGTGGGGATTTATCTAATTATTATTTTTAGATTTATTTATTATGTATATATACAGTGTTCTGCCTGCATGCCCGAAGAGGCACCAAATCTCATAGATGGTTGTGAACCACCATGTGGTTTCTGGGAATCGAACTCAGGACCTCTGGAAGAACAGCTAGTGCTCTTAATCTCTGAGCCATCTCTCCAGCCCTGGATATATATACACACACATATATATATATATGTACACATACATATATATATATATATGTCTATTTTATACAAAATATGATAAAAATCAAATGAAGGTAAATATATTGTCTACTGTAAATAAGCCACTGCCAAGTTCACAGTAAATTCCACTTAAGTGTTAGGTTTACTAACTTTATTGTTCCCTTTTAAAAACTATCTGCTAACAGAAGTCCTTAACAATATGTTTGCATCAAGACTTCTCATTCCTGGATTGGAGAGATGACTCAGTGGGTAAAAGCGCTTGCTATACAAACATGAAGATCTGAGTTCAAATCCCCACAACCTATGTAAAAACCTAACTCTGCTCAAGTATGTGCTTGTATCCCTAGTGCTGTGTTGGGTAGAGACCGGAGGATGGCGGGGCCTTGCTGGCTACCAGTCTAGCTTCAGGTACAGTGAGAGATTCTGTTTCTCAGGAATAAGGTAGAGAGTTCTGGAACAGGGTGTGGAACATCCTTCTTCAGCCTCAATGTGCGCGCAGCACACACACACACACACACACACACACACACACACACAGTGACATCTGGTCCTGATGAGCTTTTGGTTCCCTTCTAAGAATAATTTGCATAGAATAAAATTCATAAGATCGTCAGAAAGCCAATTGTGTTGAAATCTAATTATAAAAATACTAAAGCAACAACACTATGTGCTGTGTGGTTAATGTGTTAAGCTAAGATCCATCACAATAGCAGTGAGAATAAATAGCACACTGAGATCAACATTAGTGTGACATAAAATATTTGATTTCACCAGCAAGTCACAGGCAATACTGCTATGTTTATTTTTTGTTGCCCATCTTTGAACTGAAGAAAATAAAGACACTGTTGCACAATTCTCTCAATGCCCACCCACCCCATCACCCACCCCCATTTCAGTTTTATAACCAAGAGGTGAGGCAGTTTGAGAGTCACTGTGTCTCAGCATAAACGCTACTGGAGCGGTTATTTAAAGGGACTGTTGTGCCTCCGGCCTAAAAAGAGTCAAGAATGTATTATACATCTGATTTGGGAAGTGATGAAGATACATAATTAAAAAACTTCAATCTAGCTGGGCATTGGTGATGCACACCTTTAATCCCAGCACTCGGCGGGCAGAGGCAGGTGGATCTCTGTGAGTTCGAGGCCAGCCTGGTCTACAGAGCGAGTTCCAGGACAGGCTCCGAAACAATACAGAGAAACTCTGTCTTGAAAAACAAAACAAACAAAAACAACCACAATCTGAGCAAAGCCTGAAGTTGGGATAGTAGCATTGTAGTTGGCAGAAGCTAATGGTAGCATAGTCAACAGCAGTGAGGAGCGACTGGGTCTGAGATACACAGCCATGTCTGCTTTTCTTTTCTGATTGGGGGATGTTAGGTAGGAGACGAGGTCTCGCTGTGTAACTAGGGTGGGTTTGAACTCAGCATGTAGCATAGGCTGCTCATCTGGCCTCAGCCTCCTCAGCGCTGGAGTTAGAGGTGCGCACTGCCGCCTTGTTCCTTGTGCTGCTCTTTAAGCTTTTCTGGAAGTCTGCAGCCTCCAAAATAATACGGTTACTGTAAAAGGGCAGCTGGGAAATTCTTGCAGACTTCTGAAGAACCTGGCCCCACACCTTGAGGAAGAGTAGAAATCGCCAGATTGTCTCGAGTCCTGGCTGTGTTTGAGGCGTCAGGTCGGTGGCCTTGGACAAGTTCCTCTTGAGTCCCCTGTGAAGGGGAAACTCTGTGGCCTCCCTCCCTCCTCAGGAGTCTGGATGTAAGTGACAGAGACTGCTGAAGCGTGTGGCACACAGTAGGCCTCGGGACGTGAGGGGTGCACAGCTCTCTCACAGCATGTCACAGGGTCTGCTCAGTGATGGGTGCAGTCCCAGAGGAGAGGTATGTATCCCAGGAGCCTCGCCTCTCTGTACCCAGCAACCCTTGTCTTGTCTTGCTTTTAGGTGATGACAGAAAGTAGCCACAGCAAGGGTTTTGGCTTTGTCTGCTTTTCCTCTCCAGAAGAGGCAACAAAGGCTGTGACGGAGATGAATGGGCGCATTGTGGGTACTAAGCCTCTGTATGTGGCCCTGGCGCAGCGCAAGGAGGAGCGGAAGGCCATCTTGACCAACCAGTACAGGCGGCAGCTCTCTCGCCCTGTCTTGAGCTCCTTCCCGCAGCCCCCCAACTACGTACTGTCTGCCGTATCCCAGGTGACAGTGTGCCTGCAGCTCCCGCAGGGGGATAGAACTTCACAAACATAGGTTCTGTTGAAAACACCTTGGGCAAGCTGCTCCAATCCCTTGAAGCCTCATCCACCCCATCTTTAAAGGGGCTTTCTTGTTTTCCCGTCGGTGTGAGATTCCTGAAGGCTGTGTGGAAGGGGCTCTCTGGTTAAATGAGTTTGGGAGGTCTTATATTAAGTACTGAAACCTAAAGCTGGGCGGTGGTGGTGCATGTCTGATCCCAGCATTCAGGAGGCAGAGGTGGGTGGATCTTTGTGAGTTCAAGGTCAGCCTGGTTTACAGAGCAGGTTCCAGGACAACCAAGGCTACACAGAGAAACCCATCTCAAAAAAAAAAAGTATTGAAACCTCAATTACTTTATTGTATACATTATCTTCTCCAGTTATTGGCTCTCTCTCTCTCTCTCTCTCTCTCTCTCTCTCTCTCTCTCTCTCTTTTTTTTTTTTTTTTTTTGGTTTTTTTGAGACAGGGCTTCCCTGTATTGTTTTGGAGGCTGTCCTGGAACTCACTCTGTAGACCAGGCTGGCCTCGAACTCACAGAGATCCGCCTGCCTCTACCTCCCAAGTGCTGGGATTAAAGGCGTGTGCCACCACCGCCTGGGTATTGGCTCTCTTAAACAGCCGTTGTGCCTGTAGTATTTTCCCAACTCAGATAGCTGCTCACGCACCTTAGCATGACCTGGCTATTCGTGTTCTGAGAAGTATGGCTAGGAGAATGACATCATAGAACTTAATGCAGTAGGAAGATGTGCCTGATTGAAGATCACTGGCTTACTAACATCCTTTAGCAATTGGTTATGCTTGTACAAACTGGAGTGACATAGTTTGTCTAGGTTACTGGGCTCAAATGGTTGAAATAAATCTGCGAACTTGCTCTGAGGGCATTAGGGATAAAGGGCATCCTGAGATGGGAGAACGGAGCCTTGGTGTTAGCTTTGTAGGCTTGAGCTATCTCCTGCAGGGGATGCTGTGGTTCTTGCAGTGGCAGCCCTGAAAAGATACGAAGGCCCTCTCACCCTGAGCCCTCTTCTCCCACAGTCTACAGCACAGGCTGTGTACTATGGTTCTGGCTCCATGGCTCCAATGCAGCCTGACCCCAGGTGGACAGTCCAGCCACACGGACCTTCGTGTAAGTAACCCAGCCCTGCTACCTTCAGCCGGGCCTTTGGGTGTGAGAGTCAAGAGTAAAGGTGATGTATAACTACGGGGTCAAGCCTGGCTTTGCGTTTCTCGGTGTTGGCTTCTTCCTCTGAGCCTCAGTTACCCCTTCCCAAGTTGGGACCAAATTACATGTTCATGAAGCACTGTGACAACCCTGACAAGGACACACAGAGTGGCCATCGTCAGTTATCTCCAAAGGCTACTCTGATTTGTGGCTGAAAGTTCTTGCAGAACAGAGGAAAAGAAATGAAACCCTTCTGTCTAAATTATTGGTGAATAGCTAAGAGCCAAGCTTGCACTCAGTCCCTTGGGACTAAAGTGAGAGATCAGAATTTCAGGGCCCGGGGGGAAGTGGGGGAGATACGGACTGGTTTTGTCATTGCAGATTTCTATACATCCTCCCCAGAGTTCTTGGTCTAGGTAAATTGACTCTCTTTCTCTGCTGTGAATGTCTAGTTTCTCCCCAACCCTGGGAGCTTCAGGTCACAGTGTGCTTCTTTGACCATCACCCCAAACCTCTCTCTGTTTTTCTCTGTGCTATAAGCTACCTGCCCTCCGTCCGCCTCAGTGGTCCAGCCTCTCGGCACGATGCAACATCCCCGCATTCACCTCAACAGTGCCAGCCAGGCCTCCAGCCAGGTGCCTCACACACAGAGAGTAGGTGAGTGTGATCAGCAAGGCCAGGATACGGAATGGAAGGGTGTCGGTGGGGTTGGCAGCAGAGGGCAGTTTAGACCAGGCTCCGCAGTGACGCTGCTGTCTTGAGCCAGGTCAGCTTTGGAGGCTGTCTGTAACATAAACGCTAGCATGGCCTCCAGCCCTTGGGAGTCACTTTGTGTCCCTTGCTGATTGCTGTCTCTGCCGACTTAATCTTCAAAGTAGGACCCATTTTGTTGTGAGGATTGGTGAGTTCACAGATAGGAGGACTCCAGTCTTAGCAAGTATTGAAGCTGCTGTGGCTGGAAGACCAGAGTATCTATTGGCCAATATCCTCGTATTTCTGTGCTGGCGCTGTGTTCAGCACAGGGGGTTCTCCCGGGATTCTGCATGAATGAGCCAGATGAAGAAGTCCCTGGTCTTACGTATTGCCAGGCTTCAACATGCATGTTCATTGTTATACTTTTCAACTGCAGTAAAAGACACACAATGTAAAATTTACTTTTTTTTTTTGGTTTTACGAGACAGGGTTTCTCTGTATTGTTTTGGAGGCTGTAGGACCAGCCCGGCCTTGAACTCACAGAGATCCGCCTGCCTCTGCCTCCTAAGTGCTGGGATTAAAGGCATGTGCCACCACTGCCCGGCAAAATTTACTATTTTTTAAAGTTTTATTTTTATTTTATGTGCATAAGTGTTTGCCTCCATCAATGTATGTGCATCATACGCATGTGGGACCCACAGAGGTCAGAAGAGGGTGTTGGATAACCTGGAACTAGAGTTACAGTCAGTTGGATGTTGGGTGCTTGGAACTGAACCCCAGTACTCTGCAAGAACAATGAGAGAGTTTTAGTTCTTTTTTCTTTTATGTTCATGTTTTGCCTGCACATATGTCTGTGTGAGGGTGTCAGAAGCCCTGAAATTGGAGCCACAGACAGGTGCGAACTGCCATGTGGGTGCTGGAAATAGAACCCGGGTCCTCTGGAAGAGCAGACAGTGCTCTTAACTGCTGAGCCGTCTCTCCAGCCCGAGCTTTACTTTTTTAAGTTACAGTTTAATTTCATACAATATATTCACATTGTGGAGTATGAACTTCAGCATTTGCCTCCATCATCTTTTTTTTTTTTTTGGTTTTTCGAGACAGGGTTTCTCTGTGGCTTTGGAGGCTGTCCTGGAACTAGCTCTTGTAGACCAGGCTGGCCTCGAACTCACAGAGATCCGCCTGCCTCTGCCTCCCGAGTGCTGGGATTAAAGGCGTGCGCCACCAACGCCCGGCCGCCTCCATCATCTTTAAAATGCTTTCGCTTGTAAAACTGAATGTCCCACTAGCCATAGTTCCTCATTTTGTCCTTTTTTAGTCCCTGAAAAGACCACCATTCCACTATTGGCTCTTTGGATTTTCAGTGGCTCTTAGCTAAAAGGCTGAGAAGCGATTGTGTTTGAGTTTGAGTATGGTTACTTCCCGGAAGTGGAATCAGGCTACCAGACCTCTGTGACTTGCTTTCACCAGCACAGTGTCCTCAAGACTCAGTGGTGTCCTAGCATGGTGCTGTTTCCTGCAGATGTAGATTTTGGTTATGCATTGAGCTGTTGATGAACACACAGCTGGCTTCCAACCGTGAGCTCTTGTACATTAACTGCTACTATGAATGCTGGCAGACATCTTGGAGATAACCTCCTGAGACCCTGCTTCCAATTCTTTTGAGTACATACCAGAACTGAGGTTGCTAGATACGTTGACTCTTTAATTTTTTTCAGGAAACCCTCATATTGTATTTTTATAGTTGCTATATACCTGATATTCTTGTCTACAGTACATAAAGGTTTCAATTTCTTTACTGCTCCACCAAAATTTTCTATCTATTTTTTTCTAAGTGGCTATTTGAAACCACTTTCTTCTTCTTTTTTTTTTTATACAGTCAACATTGGTACCCAGACTACAGGATCAGGTGGGGAGGGATGCTCTATTCCAGGCCAGCCTCTCCTGACACATAGAGGAGCTTCAGCTGTACACAGTGCCCATGGGGTAAGGCTGCCTACTCACTGTAGGTTCTAGGTATCTTGGCTTGTAACTTTGGCTAAGGTGTTTTCCCTCTGGTCTTTGCTTTTCTTGGCTTATAAAATTTCATTTACTAATATGTGCAATCAGTCAAAGATTATTCCTACTAACTGAGGGGGAAAGGAACCATCATCACATTTTATTGACTGGTTACAAACTTTTTGTCTGGGTTATTATCAAAACGAAAATTGAACTTTCTGTAAGTAGGAATTCTAAGAATATACTGAGTACTGAAGGAATGAGGTTAAAGCTTCATAATAGGACTAAAAACGTTTATTATAATTAAACAAAGGCTATCTCTGTATCTCCTTATGTTCCCCTCAAAGGTTTCATATTCAACATTATTGAAACATGTCTAGGATGTCAATATGTCTTGTTTGAATGATTTCTTGCAAAATGAACAACAGTCTTTAAATAGCAACAGTACTTTAAAAGTTAGCAAGATATAAGAGGGCTGAAGGAAGAGGCACGAATTCTAGGCCAGCCTAGGTTAAATAGTGAGTTCTAGGCCATCCTGGGCTATGTAGATCTTGTCTCAACACACTCACACATACTGTCGAGATGTATGCCTACTGCTGATGTGTTCATAAAGCTTGCTGGGAAAAGTGCTTTATTGAGTGCAAAGTGATTAGTGAAGTGTGTCTCTCATGTGACAGTGTTTTGTTTTGTTTGTTTGTTTGTTTTTTGAGACAGGGTTTCTCTGTGACTTTGGAGGCTATCCTGGAACTAGCTCTTGTAGACCAGGCTGGCCTCGAACTCAGAGATCCGCCTGCCTCTGCCTCCCGAGTGCTGGGATTAAAGGCATGCGCCACCACCACCCAGCATGACAGTGTTTTTGAAAGGGCCTTCTTCGTTGGTTCCCAGCATCTCTGTTTGAGCCTAACTCTGTCTTCTAGTCCATGCCCTTGCTAGGAATTCTCTGTCCCAACCAATTGTGCAGACGTTGCTTCCCTCTTCCAGAACCTTCCCTGGATGTTTATATTCACTCGATGAGGTAAGTGTGTGAGGCCTTTCTTATCCATGTGGTTAAGGAATGTGTTCCTGGCACCGTGTGCAGGTCCAGGAGTCGGCTGTGTATGTCCCTGGCCATCAGCCTCTGACTGTGTCCATGTTGGCTGCTGCACCCCTGCATGAGCAGAAGCAAATGATTGGTGAGTGGCTGGCTCTCCTACACTGGGGAAGGTAGGAGGCTTGAGAGCTGCCTAGCCTGCTGGGAACAGCTTGAGTGAAGACAGACTTGGGAACAAGGTCTAGTTTCCTCACTGAGGTATGAGGTAGTTTCACCCCGGCTGCCTCTTCCTAAGCCTTTGTCCTCTTGTCTTAAAGTACTGGTGGGCTGATGCTCCCAAGGCTTTTTCCAGCTTGGTATCTGACTCTGACTTGAGGTAGGAGATATGTGGGATCAGGGCCAAGAAGCAGAGCAGGAGAATGCCCATGGGTTTCTACTGGGAAATAGGGTTCAGAATGTCATTACATGTCTTCACACCTCTTCCAGGGGAAGCCCTGGTCAAGTTTCATCTGTTTCCTGGTGCCCAGTGCAGGAGGGGGGAAATAACCTAACCATGTGCTGGGTTAACACAGGTGGTTCCCTCTGGACTCTGAGCTCCAAGCGCAGTCCTTCTCCAGCCCTAGAGTTTCTGACAGGCTCCCGTAAAAGCTGGCACTAATGGGGCTTGGGGATCTGTTCAGTAGGTAAGAGTGCTCCCTGTGTAAGCTTGAGGACTTGAGTTTGGATCCCTAGCACCCATATAAAAGCTGGCCATGGCTAGGCATGCCTGTAACTCAGTGTTGGGGGATGGAGACAGGAGGATGGCAGGAACTTGGTGGCCAACCCACCTGAACAGCCAGCTTCAGGGTCAGTGAGAGACACTGTCTCCAGGGAGTAAGGTGGAGAGTGATGGAGCAGGACACCTGATGTCCTCCTCTGACCTCCATGTGCACGCATACTGGCATGCAGGCACACATACGTATGCACACACATGTGCATGGATGTGATGTTGCTAATGTTGGAATGAATGAGCAACTTGCTCCTGGTCGGCACACTCTTCACTTCATGGCCATGTAGACCTTGAGCCCCTTCACTGAAGGCCCTCATTGCGACTACTCCATTGTTTCTTTAGCTTACCTACTAGACTTTGTCACTTTATGCCCCTCCTTAACACAAGAAAATTACATATGCCTAATGTAGGCTCAATTGGCTTTTGTCTGTAAACACTGTCATTTCCTTATGGGGAGACCTTTCTACTCCCACTCAAGCACCCCCATCCTGGAGTGTCCCTCCATGCGTTGTCAAGGTAGGCAGACACCAAAACTAGGTTGTAATAATGGAAGGTAAACTTACTCTGTGTGCTTGCCTCCCACACCTCAAAGTCTCAAGTCGAGACTCACATCTATCTGGAATCCCAGCATGTCCAATGAGAACCACTTCTCACAAAAGGAACACACAGTCTTGAAACTTAACTGACTTTGCTGCAGATTTCCTTACATATAATATTCAACTCGGCCCTTCAGATTGCCCTCCAAGGTGGGTTTGCTATGCCCACTTTATAGAAGTGGAAAGAGAAGTTTTCAGGAAGGTTAAATGACATAGCTTGCTTGGGGTGACAGGTTCTAGGACAAGATCCCAGATGCCCTCATTGCTGCACTCCGTGATGTCTCCACTCCTGGGTCCTGGGCTTTGAGGCAGGTGTGTGCATAAGCTATGAGGTTGTTTCACACAGGGGAGCGTCTCTACTCCCTCATCCAGGACACCTGCGCCCCACTGACTGGCAAGATCACGGGCATGCTGCTGGAGATGGACAACCTGGAGCTTCTGTTATTGCTGGAGTCCCCAGAGTCCCTCCATGCCAAGGCAGGTGGAGGCTGGGTGGCAGGGTTGTCCTAGCTAGGGTGTGGCAGCTGCCATCAGTCTGCTGGATTGAGTGTTTGCAACTTCAGCCTCTCCACAGACAAGCTCTGGGTAGCTCCCTAGTGAATCTTCGGTACTAGTAGCTGTGTTCTGACTGGACAGAGTTGAGTCCAGCAATGCTACCTCTATTTGCGAAGGTAGCAGTGGGGCTGGGATCTTGTGAGCCGCAGAGGATGAGGTTCTCCATGAATCCTTTATCATGCTGAGGCAAGTGAAATCATGGCTCTTCTGGGGCCCTACTGGGCAGCTGCACTAAGCCCCTCTCTCTTGCGTCCCCTAGATAGAAGAGGCGGTGGCAGTGTTGCGGGCGCATCAGGAAACGGAGTCAGCCGAAGGCAACAGGAACTGAACACAGTGGGTGGCTGGGGGCGGAAGGACCCACGACAGAGCAGCTGAGCTCTTCTCAGGAGACCCTGTCGAGGCCGACATCCAAAAACTCACTTGTGATGTGCTGGTGACTGAAGCGCCAAGGAGTTTGGTGAAGTTGAAGTCATAGGAGACACACGCAGCTGTCCTGCCAGGCCTCAGACTTTACTGCCTGGCTTCCTTCTGCCCGTCTGAAGGCCTGGTCTGCTGTGAGATAGCCCACCTTCTTATGACTGGGTGTCTTACATATTTGGGAACAATTTTTTCCTTCCCCCATTGAAAATGGAACCCTCACTCCTTTGACTGCCAAGTACAGCATTTCTGCTCTTGGTTCTAAGGTCCTGTGAACCCTAACTTATTTCCTGATTGGCCTCTCTGTTCTTGAGCTCTAGAGGTGAAATGAAGGCTGGACGCACAGTCCACTGCTAATCTTTTTCCTTTGTATATTAAAAAACGTTGCAAAATCTGTCTTGCCTCCCAGGGGGCTTTCTTGTGTCGGAGGGAGGGTGGAGGCAGAGAAAAAGATTTTACTGGATTGGAACTTCGGCTTTAAGGAATAGAACCCGAGCCCCAAACAAGTGCTGAAATACACAGACAGTGTGCATATTAGAGCAGGAGAACTGCACGGAGCTTTAGGCATGTAACAGCTCCAAACTACAAACTGGCCGTCAACAACAGATGGTTAAATGGGTACCATCATGCAATGGGCTGAGCAAATGGACTAAAGCTCTGGGCAGCCTATCTGAAGTATGTGGCATTTCTGCAGGCCAGATAAATACCACAGAAGCCAGCAACTGCATGTGAGTCCCAGCTGACCAAATGTTGTATAATGCAATAGGAATCCTATAGAAAAATACTTGATTACCTTTCTTTTCTTTTCCTTCCCTTTCCTTTCTTTTTGATTCTTCAGCTGAGACAGCGAGAAAGATGGTTTATTGTTCATGGGTTACACTTGGCCACAGAGTGAGAACAGAACGAGTCCAGAACGCAGCAGGTCCAGGACAGGGCGGAGGGCCAGTGGGACTGTTTAGGTTGCAAGGAAGGCCGGCAAGTCTTGGAGGTGGTGTCTCTGCGAGCAGACGGTGAGGTTCCAGGTCCATTGAGACTTGCACAGCACACAGTCCAACAGCGTGTACCAGCATCTCGTCCTGGCCTTCGGCATCCCTTACCTCTGCTCCTCGGCCTCTCTAGGTGGCCCCGCCGGTTTACCTGGACCCCTGCCTCATCCTTCTTCTCTTGGCCTCAGCCTGCACATTCGCTTCTTCCTCCACTTCTCATGGCGCAGGAGTCCCAAGGAAGATGGCGCTAAGGCCGAGAGCTAGATAACCATTCTTGATAAGAGTTTCCATCCCTAGATAGGGAGCTCCCAAGGTTCTTCAGGGAAGTTCATGTTCACTTTCTTTTTTTTTAACTTTTTTTTTTTAGATTTATTTATTATGTATACTGTGTTATGCCTGCATTATGCCTACAGGCCAGAAGAGGGAACCAGATCTCATTACAGATGGTTGTGAGGCACCATGTGGTTGCTGGGAATTGAATTCAGGACCTCTGGAAGAGCAGCCAGTGCTCTTAGCCTCTGAGCCATTTCTCCAGCCCTCATGTTCACTTTCTTAAGGGGTTCCGACCTCAGCTCCTTGCCTTCTCCATACCCATGTGCCCAAAGAGCAGTGGTGAGGAAACACCTGCACACCCCACCCCGTCATGAATGCTATTTTAACTCTTCACATCTCCAACCACCGGTCCCCAAATAACTTCTCTCTCTTCTCCTCAGATGCTCAATGCTGGCATTTCTTCAGGCCTGACCCTCATTCCTTTTTCTTTCTCTGTGTTCTCCTCCTCACATCTAATTTACAACCCCCCCCTTTTTTTTTTGGTCCATATAGCTTTACTTGCAAGTGTTCATTGCAAAGAGTCATTGGTCTGGTTCGAGGCCTCTGGTTTCTGCTACCCTATCCATGCTGGGCCCTCACTGGGACTCCTGTAGGATATCCTGCTGTTGCCCTGTGTTGTGGAGATCCTGTAGATTTCAGTCTGCAAGACCGACCGGTCTCAGTACATGCTCCAGCAGATCACAGATGGGGTGGATGTTGAGGTGGGCCAACGCATAACCTTGGTTCTGGGCTTGGGTAGTTGCAGGGTTGATCAGCCTGCCCATTCTCTTGTCCTCACCAGAGTGAGCTCTCCTGCATTGCCTTGGCTAGTTTACCCCTTGCAGAGACGATTAGGGTGTAGGGCCGGCTCCCCTGCCCTCATGTCCTCAGGATTGGATCTCCCATACTTACACCTTCAGGGCCAGTTCTACTGTGTTGTCCAGCACAGGGGTCACTCTCCCGAGAGCCACAGTCGACTAGCTCTCCCACTCTTATGACCTCAGAGCCAGCTCTGCCACCTGCCTCTGGTGTTGATGGGGGGGCATCTCTCACCCACCCATGCTACCACATGATAGGTGAGTAATAACAGAGACAGCTCTTCAATGCTCACAATATCAGGGCTGGCTTGTCCACACCTCTGTCAATGGGTGTAGGGATGAACCCCATAAAGCTATCCCTAGGGCAGGGATAAGGAAATTTAGGATAAAAGGAAGTGAAAGAGAAATGACTCTTTTCCTTCTTCCTCTGGAAGATGGACGCGCTTCTGACGCCCCATCCTTTGTAAGTTCATATTCTGGTATATAAATATATTGTATTCCCTATTGTATTGACCTTCATCTTTAAATGGGGTTGGTTCTACTGTGCTGCCCACACAATGTACAGAACCTGCCCTCTGAGTGTACAACCCCGTTTTCAATCATACTCGAAGACTCTAGTGTCCTTTTTCTTTAGCTCTACCCACTTGCGGAAGCTCCTGGACTACAGATCTGACACCCCATTTACCCTTAGTTCTCAAACCGTCAATAGCAAGTCCAATGCACAACTAAGCAAGTTTATGGCTTAGTTTCCTGTCCCTCCAGTTTTTGTCTTCAAGTGTTCTCAGGAAAGCCTTCCCCCTCATTCTATTCTAAAACCAAGGTCTCCCCACTCTCACTGTTATCTCCCTTCCCATCTCTCATCTTCCATATGCAATCTATCATCTCACCCCGACTCTTCAATGTCGCTATTCTGCAAATCCTTCATTGTCATCCTTGTGTGAGCTCACCTGGACTCTAGCTGGCTGCAGCCCTTGGTGACTTCACTGTATTGGTGGTGCTTTCCTCCAAGCAATCAGAACGAAAATCTGACACCTTTTATTCAAGTCTACTTCATTCTGTGTCACTAAGGTGAGAACAATGTAACTTGCAGCCTTGTCCCATGTTGAGAACTTTGTGAATGGTACTTTATTAGCCTCCCTTATTGAGTAGGGAGCACTCACGTTCTTCTTGTCCAACCTCTCACCTATTAATATTACCTTTGGGATATTTTCCCATTATTGTCAGCATATATTTACCTTACAAAATGTTTCATCATCACAGTTATTTGCTGATTTACCACCCTCATGCTCTCCTGTCACAGGACCTTCCTCTTTTCAAATGTTCACTTCAACACACAGATTTATTTATAGATAAAAATCTAGACTCCACATATAAGAAAGCATGAATCTGGTTTAATTGCTTAACATGATCTCCAGCTCCATCTGTTTTCCTGCAATGAATTTCATTTTTTTTTTCCCAAGGCAGGGTTTCTCTGTGGTTTTAGAGGTTGCCCTGGAACTAGTTCTTGTAGATCAGGCTGGTCTCGAACTCAGAGATCCACCTGCCTCTGCCTCCTGAGTGCTGGTATTAAAGGCGTGCACCGCCCAGCCAGAATTTCATTCTTTATGCCTAAATAAAACTACAAGATGATCCACCAGGTGACCGGAGTTTGATACCTGGACCTCATGGAAGGAGAGAAACAACTCCACAAAGTTGTTCTGATGTGTACTGTGGCATATACATTTACACATGCTACTTAGTAAGACACCCACCGTATGTGTGTATTTTATCCATTCATCTGTTGTTTGTGCTGATCTGTTAGATCTTGGCTTATGTGAATGCTACCACAATAAGCATGGATGTACCATGTCTTAAGGGAGTGGTAATTGCTAGTCGTCCCCCCTGCAAGACAGGGTTTATGTATCCCCGGAACTTACCGTGGGTACTTTTTGAGAAAACTCTATACTGATTTCCACAGCGGGCAGCTTTTTCCTTCACTTTTTGTGGTGCAGGGACTTGAACCCAGGGCCTCGTGCATGCTAGGCAAATGTTCTACCACTGGTCTACATCCCCAGCTCTTAGCATTTTCTTCTGAACTCAGTTCATACTCTACTAACAGACCTTTACCTTTCCATTGTGCAAACCTTTTCATCTAGCAACAGCTGACTGCTGGGTAGCTCCTTCATGATGCCTAAGCCAGGTTCAGCTTTATACTTAAGGTAGTTATCTTATTACTCCTTGTCTTCTCACAGGGCCATATGACAGCAGGGGCCACATCTAGCTATCCTTTGGGACTATACACAATGCCTGGGCTGTTCAGAAAATTTATCCAATAAACAGATGAATGTCCAAAACCAGTGGCTGTTTCTTTTTTTTTCCCCCATAGATCACTGTTTATCTTTACAAGGTTGACATTCAGTAATAGGAAAGGCATGTTTAAGAACTAGCTTGCTCTTGTTTTCTGTTCTGTGCTAGAGTCAGTACGGCACAGCTGTGACCACTACTGAGTTTCAAGTGTAAGGCTGAGAAAACATGCAAAAGCCAGTTGTACAGAAGAAAACCTTTTAATGCAACAGCAACACACAGTCCAATAAAATCAGTTCAATTAACTTCAACATAACAACAACAAACAACAAAGAAGCCTGAGGGGCTGCTGTTGGGGGAAAGGTCAGTTCCTGCTCAGACTGGAGGGACACTAATCTCAAGGAGGCCTCTTTTCTCCCCATCCCAGGAGGAATTCAGGCTCTTTGAACAGCATAGGTAGCTCCATACAGAAGGCAACAGCGCAGAGCCTCCAAGGGTCAGGCTCTGCCTTCCCACAAAGGGCCTGGACTGAAGGCACTGGGGCTCAACACAGGACGCTGTGCCAAGGACAGGGTGCAGACAGCAGCCGTACCCCTGGGGAGATGGCAGCCTTGGAGAACCAGCTCGACAGGCCGCTTTGGGTCTAGGTAAGTCGGCACTTTAGCCTGTTAACACCACCCTCCCAGCTCATATCAACTGCAGAGGTGTGGTGTCTGGGAACGTCACACAGGCAACAATCAATCGGCGGCACATCTGGGTCGTGACAACTGCCAAGTACTTTGTTGACACGGACCAGGCTGAAGCAAGGGGATGAGGCCAGGGCTGTACCTTCACACTTGAGCTCCAGTGTGAACCTTTCTGAAAGAAATTGTCCTGTGCTTGTCTGTAATGGACTTAATTTGAACAAGCGAAGCTTCTCAGGTGGAAGGCTGCTACCTCTCCAAGGGGTCAAAGTGGGGTTGTTTTTGTACTCCCTTAGGGGCATGCTGGGTATG